GATGAATGTTAGAGAATACTATTATAATGTAGTGCCTTGGGTTTGGGTTATAAAGCTCTCTAGTCCCTTACCCTTGACCTTACCTCTAAAATGTCCACTGAGATCAAAGAAAACGCCTTCCAAAGCCTCTAGCCTGTGGTGATGGCTTTCAGAGTCTTCTGCTACCACAATTTCTGAATGTCCACAAAAGGGAACGGTTTTACCAAACAAACAAACATACAATTTAGAAGCTAACATATTGATGGGCAGGAGATATGCTCAGTGCTTCATAGCATAGACTGTTCTTTCAGAGGACCCAGGTTCACTTCCTGGTGCTCATCTAGGCAGATCATAGACACTTGCAACTCTAGCTCTAGGGCACCTGGTGTGTCTAGTTTCCTCAGGCACCAGCCTGTTCAAGTTAACTTTTAAATTCTGTGTCAAGCCCCTGCTTGCTACTTTTTCTGTTCCCACATGGGTTGCAGTGTGCCCATGGTAGATGGAAATGAAAGGAAGAGAAGTGTCTGCTATTACAATTAACCACAAAGTGTCTACATGGAGGAGCAACAGAGAATCACTGACAGCTTAGGTGGACCTGGTATGGAAGTGAGCCACACTGACTCAATGGTGAGGCATTTGAAAGCTGTCTTATGGAAAGAGCTGGGGTTTCATCTGTACCTCTTGCGTGCTTTGGGGACATGGGCAGTGTAGTATTTTTTCATTCCCGCAGTGGAATGATATGCAGTTAATGCTCACAATGAGACTGAATGTTAAATGAAAGTGGTTTGTATGCAAATTCTTTTTTATGTATCTGCTTTGAAATAGCTATCCTTGTTCTTTGGTTGGTTCACTTTTGTGAATATAGGCAATACGTGTGATGTTTTCAAAGGCTGGTTAGCACTTAACTTTATTATATTTTATTAGATTTATTTTAATTTGGTATATATATATATAGGTGGTTTGCCTGCATGTATGTCTGTACATCACATTAATGTCTGGAACCCATAGAGGTCAGAGAGAGCACTGGATACTCTGAAACTGGAGTTACAGATGGTTTCAAGCCATCATCTGGTCTTTGGAATCAAACCCAAGTCCTCTACAAGGATAAGAACTCTAAATAAATAAGCCAGTGAGCCCCATGAAGCTTATTATAATGCCCAGGTTCAGAGAAGGTAATGCTTATGCTGATTCCTGTACAGATGGGTAAAATCTTAAGCAAAACTTGTTCAGTGTTTACTGTATTGAGGATCAGAAAATACATAATTTCCTCTTGTCTGCAGTGTAAAATACATGGTCTGGGGTGGGAGGGTTGTGGAACTATGCAGGCAGAGGTCTCCCCATCTGCATGTCTTCCTTCTTAAACACAGAACAAGTGGTTAGGTGTGCTTTGGCACAAAACAGCAAAAGAGGGCTAGCAAGGAGGCTCGGTAGTCAAGATTAGGGACCTGTGTTCAATCCTCAGGACTTAACATGGTGGAGGAAAAGAACTAACTCCCTTAAGTTATCCTTTGCCCTCTCTATGTGTGTTAGTGCTGTGTTTGATAATTCAGTAGGACTGGCCTCTTGACCATGGAGGTCCATGCCAATGGAGTCTTACTCACTTGGATTGAAGAAGGCTAAGTCCTGCCTGTGGAGAACATGCATAATCTTCAAAACCAGTGAAGGGGTTTATGGGTGTGTGTGTGTGTGTGTGTGTGTGTGTGTGTGTGTGTGTGTGTGTGTGTTAGTGTTATATGCTAGGGTCAGAAGCATTTACACCTGGTCAGAAATTGGTTAGCGATTCTGACAGTCATGCTTATTTTAAAAGCTATTCCTCCATGGGTTGGAGGAGCTTTTCCTAAGACTACTCAAATCTATTCGTGGCCTGATGCTCACATACTGCAACACTCTGTGTCAGTGCCTAAGTGGGCAGCCCCATTTCCTACAGGCACCCCAGATGTCTTGCTCTGTACATTTTGGTTTTGAGACAAGATCTTTCTATATAGTCCTGGCTATCCTTCTGGAACTCCCTATGTAGACAAGGCTCTGCTTGACCTCACAAAGCTTTCCTACCTCTGCCTCCCAAATGGTGGGATTAAAGGCATGTGCCACCACACACAGCTTTTATGAAATAGTGAACTTGATATATACCTACCTGGTAATGGAGAAAACCTACAAGCCCCTCAGGTATTAAAACATCTTGTGGCCCACATTTTGTTCTCATGCATCCTCGGGAGAGGTTCTGCTCTGTTGAGAAGCCAGTCTTTTGTGGCTCTGTGATCACTACCAGCAGGCAATAACCATCAGGAGTGGGTGTGCAACAAAAGGCTTGAGAGCAGCTTTAGTATCTGAGCAGAATTCCTTGTTAACAGAAAAGAGGGGCTGGGTCTCAAGCAAAAACTACACACTCCACAAACTGGCCTGGTTTGCCTGTGAAACTCCTTTGGGCCAGTCCTATATGACCGAGGATGCTGAAGCTGCGGCTATAGTAGCTAAAATGAACCCACAAATGCTTAAAATATAACCAACTTCCACAGTGTATTTGGTGCATACAGTGAGGGAAGACACTTCCTTTTGTGATCAGCAGACCAAAGCTGGGTGAGGACGGAGAAACAAGTTCAGGTGGACTGGGAAGTAATCTTCAAAAGCAGCTTTAGAAGATTCATCGCTTCACACTTAATCAGTAGGGTAGCAAAAGTGAAATTTCAACTGCTGTCCCAGTATGTGCCTCCAGTGTCTGTTTTGTTTTGTTTTTCTAATGACCTTAGGCAGTGGGTCACACTGAGGATAGCATGTAGACTGTGGCCAGTCATGTCTACATGTGGCATGTAGACTTCAAGCCGCTCAATCAGAACCCCGGGAGTGGCTTATAGATAATCCAGCAGTTTTCATTTAAGGAAAGGTCGGTGTTAGAAGGGTACACACTGGCCCCTGTGCAGCATCTGAATACCATGTGGGTGTGGTTCAGCACAGCAAGATCTTGTCCCTTCTCATTCACAGGAGTTTCCTTGTTTTAGGACTGCATATAAATGGACACTGGCATTACTTCTTATGGCACTTAAATATTCCAGCCACCTGGCTGCAAACAAATTGAAACAGTGTAAGAACTAGCTGTCATCCTCTGTCCTACTATGCATTCCAAGAAAAGCTCTACACTTATACTCTTCCCCAGATAATGTTGCTGTGTACAGCTGTGCAGATCACAGCCTTGATCACACACATAAAGGCAGAAAGGACAGAACTCAGATTCTTCTGTTGAAGCTAGGTAATGATGGGGGCAAGCACCTGATGAGGTTCAGGATGCAGTCACTGCTGTTTTTTCCATGCTGTTGCAAAGTGTTTTAAAGACATAGAATCTAGTGGAGATGTTTTAGCTGCTGTGATATTCCAGTTCCATTCATATCTTCACATGGGAAACATTGTATTGCTTTATTTTGTGAGGCACTGGCATCTTAGGTTCAAGCCAACAGAGTGGAACATATTGTTGGTTTATGTTCAGGGCACAGGTGCTAGAGTTCAAAGATTCCAGGCCACTGCTGCCAGCTAAGCAGCTTCAGACAGCCCAGCTGGGCTTGAGGAACTCAAAGGAGGGTTTGGAGAGGACAGGTTCAGTATTTAGTGAGTATATTTTAGTACTACATAAAGTGTTAATTGTCTATTTCCTTGAAATGAGTTACCTACCTGTAGACTGTAACTGGGTCAGTAGGTATTCATTGCTATTGTACGTGGCTGTGAGGACATTTCTCATCTGAGCAGCAGTGCTAATGATGTGTCCATGGTGTGGTAGAGCAGAACTGACAGGGCGCCTGGATAGGAGCACGTGTTTCCATGCCCCCTTCTTTTTAAAGGATGTAACTTGTTTTCCTGGGAAGAACACTGCTGGGAAGAAGTGCTTGTCTCACCCTCTTCAACTCGTATCTAACCACTTACCATCTGTTTGTGTTAGATGATGGCATAGGGCTGAGAGCCGAAACATGGAGTGTGCCTTCTCTTTGCCAAAGAGGCCAGTGAGAAATGCGAATGGAAGAAAAGCTAGGTCTTCAGTGGTAAATGTCTGAGCAAAGTATGACATATGACTATAATAGCAGCACTCAGCCAGATGAGTTCAATGCCAGGCTAGCTACATAGCAAGTTCCAGGCCAACCTTTTCTATATGATGAGACCCTTTTTCAAGAAATGAAGCAATTATCTGAGATTGTTTATAGATAGTAAATTGTCAATTTTTTTACTAGATATTTTAATATACATATATAATGCATCTGAAAATATTTGCTTTCCTCTCCATGTTTAGCATATTAAAATGACTTTCTGTGTGTAAATAACTTCCTGTGTGTAAAGCTTCCCAGCAGAAGTGATACTAACTGTGGGAAATCATAATCTAGTAGCTGAAAAGTCTTGACATCCTTTCATCTCTCTGCAGTGTGATGTAGCAATGCTGCCTTTGGCCTGGCATGTGCCAGGGGCATTTATCCTAGTTTCTTGGATGTCTAGAAATGACATGAAATGTGAAATCCAATTTTCTTGAGATTAATAAAAAGTCTAATTAGTAATAATTCTATTTCCACTAATCTGGCATATGAACTCAACATGTCTATAGCATGAAAAACAGATATGTTAGTGTACACACCAAGCACAATTCATCAACAGATTACTTTTTAATGTTTTAACAAAGTATGTTATATTGAAATTGTCTATTTGGTAGTATCAGTTTATAGTGTTCCTGAAAAGACATTAACTACTGGTCTTTAGTAAATGTAAGAGAGTCTCTGTTATATATATTTTTTCTCCTTGTCAGAAAATGCTTTGAAGTTTTAAAATATCAATAAAAGATTTTTATTTCTTAGATATTATGTCAAGTACAACATATTTTTCAATTCCTTCTTATTGACAGACTCATTACTTCTGTTATGCAATCATGACAGACTTTATCAAATGTTAGAAGTAATTTAATGAAGTATTTGCTCCAGTCCTTTTTATTTTTCTGCCTTTGACATATGGACACATAAATGATGGACTTGTCTGGCCTCTTCTTTTTTCTCCAGAGCATTAAGAAGAAGCATTCAAACAAGCAGGAGATGGGCACCTACCTGAGGTTCATTGTCTCCCGCATGAAGGAGCGGGTGAGTGTTGCTGGATCCCAGCATCTTGCCAGGCTTGCATTGCTCTGTCTCCTCACACTGTGCTTCTCACATTGGGAACCACAGCAAAGTATGTGGGCATATTTGGCCATGATCTAGTGTTTCCTAAACAAGATCTCAATCTGTAACCCAGAATGGGCTTGAATTTGTAATCCTCTTGCCTTAGCCTCCTGGGATTATAGTATAGGTCTGTACTACCAAATTTGGTTGCTGTTTTGTTCATTTTCTACAACAAATGTTTTTGTATTAGACCGGACTTTGTCTTTTGTTTTGCTTAAGCATTTTATTGACTACCTTCAATTAAACACAGTTTAAAAATTAAATTTATCAAATGAATATTTGAATTTGTTATTGCTATTTAAAATGAAAAGACATTTCTCAAATAGCTGTTCTATCAAACCTTGAAGAATGACATTGCATTAACTGTACACATTTTCCATTAATTGTAAAGGATGTCTTGTAAGATTATAAAATATGCTGAGCTTTAGGAATTGTTGTTTTACATGTCCCTTTATGTATTTAACAACCCTTTAGGCTATAGACCTTAATAAGAAGGGAAAGGACAGTAAGCATCCAATGTACCGGAGGCTGGTCCATTCAGCTGTTGACGTCCCTACCATACAAGAGGTAACTAGGCTCCTTTTATTTCTAATTCCATGTGTCTTAACTACTAAGTTAGAGGGTAAGTAGTAGCATGCACAATGATGGTGGCTGTGGTGTCATGGTATGTTGAGCATTCATGCCTTTAACTGTCACACACTCATGCAGATTTTAAAAGACCCCCTATTTCAACCGCTTACAGCTAGCTTCTTGATATTTGTTGATTACAGAAAGAAGATTCTTGCCTAGGCAGCTTGACATTTTGCATATAAAGTACTGATTTCTGAACATGACTTTCCACTTTAGCAGTGTGCTTGGGAGTTTTAGGCAAAACAGTGTATAGAATGGATTTAGTGTCTTAGGAAACTATAAAAGGAAGAAAACTAGGGTTGAATTTAAAGAAGTAATTCTTAGATCTTTGAGAATTACAAACAGTGAGTTTTGATCATATTCACCTTCTTCCCCAACTCCTCCCAGATCTAACCCCTCTTTCCACTCACCCAAGTTTAGATCCTCTCTCTTTTTTTAATTTTTATTATTTTTTTTAACCTATGAAGTCCAATTTGTGATGCCCATATATCTCAGGCTTTGGTCTTGTCTTCGTGCTACGTTAAAAGGCATGAAGATCTAAAGACACAGCCAGCTGTGTCCCCCCCCCCCAATCCCTCCCACCCCTGTGCTTGTCCCTTCCTGACAAAGCCCTCTAGACCCCACTGCTGTGAGCCTCTGGATCCTGTCAGGCCCCCTGTGAAATGCAATGATGTTAGCTGGGTTAATGACTTGTGTAATATGAGCCGAAGTCCTGAAAGACAGATTAACAGAAAGAAGATTTTTATGATCTTACCAGTTTAAAATCTAAAATATGAATTATGGTTCAGAGCAGAACTTACCAGGAGGCACTTTTAGGGGTGCTGTAAAGAGATATGTAGCCTGGACAAGGCTCTGTACCGGTTCACTGCCTGGTGTACCCCAGCCCTACAGAGGCAGGAATGCAGGGAGGGAAGTCAAGTATCAAAGCTGAGAGATGCCACATGGCATGCCATTTCATGTAGGTAAGGGCCTAGGAGAAGTGGGCTTTTCATGAAGGGTAGTGGATCTAGAACTATACAGAAAGAAGCTGCATGAGGGAAGAGGTGGGGCACATGGGCGGGGCATAGGGAATGAGCAATCTTTAGAGGCCTTGGCCTTCTAAGCCATTTCTATGCCGAGATCACTAGGATTCAGAAATGTTCTCTTGCTATTCCAGGTAGCTTAGCTATATACACACTACCTGAAAAAGTTTGAGCTCCTTTCAAACCTCTCCCAAGTTCTTCTGTAATTCTCTTTGGCCACCAAAGGCAGAGCTACAGAGAGTACATCGAAGAGTCCTTTTCTGTGCCTCATCAGTGTAGACAAAGTTGTGCAGTGCCCTGCTCTATAGAGGAACTCCCAAAACTTCACTTCAAGCTAGTGCCTGTGCCTTCGAGCAGTGGTGACTTTCAGATATTCACAATGCAATTCATAACAGTAGCAAAATCAGTTAAGAAGTAGCAATGAAATATTTTTATGGTTGGGTGTCACCACAACATGAACAGTGTTAAAGGGTTGCAGCATTTGGGGGGTTGAGAGTCACTGTCTTAGAGGTTTGGTGACTGCTGTGGAGGGGAATGGCTCCTTTTTCCAGTCTTCATCCAGCTGTTAGAAAGATGTCAGGCAAGTGTGGTCCTGCTCTCATCTGAGCATTTTCTGATAAAGCCCAGCAGCAGCTGCCACCACTGCAGCAGATGAGCCGTGTCAGCTGTGAGGTCCACTGTGGGAAGTTAACACAATGGGTACAGTACTTGTAGCCCTGTCACTTCTGGTGAGGGCAGCAGGAGGACTCCTGATGTCATCTGGATAGATTCTGTTGTGCCCCCTTCTTAAGTCCTGTTACTCACAACAAATTTGTCCTTCTGTCTTTTGCTCCCACAGAAAGTGAACGAGGGGAAATACCGGAGTTACGAAGAATTCAAAGCTGATGCACAGCTGCTTCTCCACAATACAGTGATTTTCTATGGAGGTTCAGTCCTTTTCCTCTTTTGTGTGCAGTTTTGAAAATATTAAATTCCATGTTGAGAATATCAGTCACAGTCCATTGTAATCCATACATGAGTAATGGTTTTGGTATGTAAACTGGTGGCTGCTTGCTGGTATGGCTTACAGAGGAACAGTGGTGTGAGGAAAATATTCTTTGATTTTTATATTTATGGTGGTAAGATGAGGAGCTAGCCCAGGGCCAGGGCCCCATGCATGCTAATTAAACACTCTACCACTGAGCTACATCTCAGTGAAGTGTGTCCTTTACATTTACAGGTATCTTAGCTAAGAGGTTTGTCCAGGCATTTCATTAATTCTGACATTTTCCCACTAAGATCTCATTCTTAAAATCAATAGGTCATTCTCTACCTAGAAAATTAGTGGTTGTCTTAAATGTAAAAGTGAAAGTTGCCTGTAGGATTTATTTTGTCACCTGACTGTATATAAAATGTATGTTTTGATAAATGTGTCTCCCATTTGGTAACCTGAAATGACAATAGGGTCACTTGACTTGATGGTGGCAGTTTCTAGAGTATTGATGAGAGATTGTGTTTATCTTCAATTACAGCAGACAGTGAGCAAGCGGATATTGCGAGGATGTTATATAAAGACACATGTCATGAGGTACTTACCATTCATAACAATTAAACTTGCTATAGTCCAAGTTTATTTAAGGCTTCTGTCCTTCCTTTCTACATTCTCATTATGGCATTTCCTTTAATGTAATTTGATTTTCATGTTTGGAATACATGGAAAGTAACTTAACAATGTTTCTGAAAAGGCTGACAAAGGATGTCATGGTAGGTTAGTTAGTGACTCTCAAGCACTGCTGGTGCTGATTAAGTGTTGGTGAGGTGTGAACAAGCTGCACTCTGCACCAGAACCATATCTTGGGATGAGAGTTCACCTGTGCTTCCTATAGACCAGTGGGCAAACCAGTTTAGGCACAGAACAACATTTGTATGCATATAGTAAGTGAAGTGCCCACAAATATTCGTGTAAAAATTCTCATGTAAGAATGTGGTTTCTTCAGTTCATTTTAAATTTGACTTTTCCTTTTTAGTTATTGAATAGCCATTTTACTGAATGTCTACAGTGTGCCAGACAGTGTGCTGAAAGGGATGAAATGGTGGAATAGGTATAGACTCCAGTGTATGTCTTCTGAAGAGAGGTTGATGACAGGAAAGAAAAAAGAAGTGGTCTTTACAGTGACAAAGAGAACAGTGTGCAAGCAAGGGATGACAGTGGGCACAGCAAAGGAAGGACACTGTCAACCTTACATGTCTTCTACATGCTGGTCAGTGAGTGGCAGAGTTCAGCCATGCAGGACCTTCTGTCCTAGAAGATTTCAAGTGTGCTAGATTTAAGAAAGGGATATAGTTCAGAGCCTGAGTGAGAGCTGCCTGTCAGTCCCACACAGCCGCATTGGTTGGCTCAGACCATTGCTTTGCTTTTCAGCTGGATGAGCTGCAGCTTTGCAAGAACTGCTTCTATCTATCAAACGCACGGCCCGACAACTGGTTCTGCTATCCTTGCGTATGTGTAATTTTGTCATTTTCATTTGTAGAGTTCCATTTGGATCATAATTACTTCATGTTTACTTAGGGATGATAATACCTGTGAAATTTAGTACATGTGGTCTTAATGAATGTGCACAACTGAAACATGAAAAAATAACAGTAATTGCTTTTCAGTTCTGAATTTCAAACAAAGTACTTAGTAAGGCCATGCACTGGATCCTTTGATAGACAGGAAAGTGAATCTTTGCTTTTTCTCTCATTTTCAATAGGAGACCTATGACTTTGCTTTTGTCTGTAGCTCCATCATATCCTCTGGGTATCTGAGGGCAGAATCCTCAGGAACACTGACATTGGGTGGACGTAGGAGACCTAACAATAATAAAGTCTGTGTGTGGCCTAATTCTCCCCTTTCTGATAAATACCCAGGTGATGTTGGGCACAGAAGCAAAGTCAGAGAACTCTGTGTCCTACTATCATGCACAGGGCCCTTGACTTTAGAGGACCTAATTCCAGTTCCTGCTTCATCTGGGAAATAGTCCTTAATGGTGTTTTCTCTTAAGCATACGAATTGTTTTTCTTGATGGCAAAAAGAAAACAAAACAAAACACTTGTATATGTTTCATTGTTCAAAGGAAACATTATCCATATGGATTATGTCTTACTTAATCCATGATTGTCTATTTAAGTAGTTCAGTATTAAAAGAAATAACGTTTCATTTTCAGATACCTAATCATGAGCTGGTTTGGGCTAAGATGAAAGGTTTTGGGTTTTGGCCAGCCAAAGTCATGCAGAAAGAAGACAATCAAGTTGATGTTCGCTTCTTTGGCCACCACCATCAGAGGTAATCTCCAGCTTACACAGTAGCAAGAGCTGCGCTTATGCATGTGTGCTGACTGCTGTTAGAGAAGTGAGTGCTATGTTTGTTTGAAGTTCATCACGTGCCTGTAGCTGGTAGTAACTTATGCGGGTTTTCTAGTGTTATTGTAAACAGGACATTTAGGTGCGATGCTTGGTTCTCAGGTACAGAGCACACTAGTGCTGAGAATGAGCCCATCTTTGCGGGCATTGGGTGCAGGGCTGAGTCCACAGGCATATCCATTCCACACTGTAAAGATGTGCAGGTATTTGAGTCTTCTCTGTGACCCTATGCTACAATCAACTTGGGATTGTAGCATCAGCCTAAAAATGTGGACAAGCACAGTAAGTGTAGAGGAGAGGGACAGCACACAGTCACAAAGCATCATCTCCACTCCCAGGCATAAGTTTCTAAAGCATAAAAACTTACATATGTGGAATACATAAAATGTATTCTAAAAAACAAAGAAGCTGACTATAAAATTACTTCATGTATTTCATAGATAGCAACCTATGGATGACACAATTACAATACTGTTCTCAGTGTGAGTTATTACATTGAACATTAAAAATTAGGGTATTAACAGTATTGTCATAAAGTATTGTCACCATTAGTTTGGGTTCAAAAAGTGAATTTAACTTTTGAGAAATCCTATTGAACTCAATTTAAGGACTCCAGTGATAAAGCCAGAAAAATTTCCTCTAACACAGATATTAAAGGGAATCCTGATACCAGTCAGTCATGCATGTATTTTGAACATCTCTTTAGATCTTAGTGTCTGGGGCAGAGGTCAGTAATGTACGGAAGCTTCAAGACAAAGGATTGTATTTTCCCCTCCTGGTTTATAGTTTGTCTTATATAATCTGTGAGTACTTTAAATGTCTGTTTTCTCATTCATATAGACACACCTAACCAGACACTGTTAAGAAACATAAACCAATGACACAGTATCCAATTTTAATACAGAGTGAACATTTTTGCCTTTGATGAATAGGTTAGTTTTAGCATTATTTAGCCTATTTAGCTTCATGCATCATATCTCGTTAGTTTCAGGTTCTGACAAGGGGCACTGTACATATGCTAGTGAGGCAAGTCAGTGTCTGTCAGTGTGTGTCCCAGTCTCTGCACCAACTCTGTCACCCAGACACACTAGCCAGGCTCTCTGAACTTTGGGAAAGCTTGGCCTCACTCCTCATGCAAGCTTGATACAGACATAGCATAGCTTGTAGCTGGTAGTGGCAGTGCGCAAAGTGATAAGTTACAAAGCAAACGTAGGGAGGGAAGTTTTTGTTTTTGATAGGTATATTGTATTACACATAGGGGGCAGAAAAAATTGAGCAAGTAATTTTGAACTCTCCTAGACTGGGAGGCTGACTTAGTCTGCAGGAGAAGTCAATTATTGCTTTCACATGGGACCTATGGGGGTGGGTCTGTCTAGGATCGGCAAGATGGTCAGTTGCTTTGGACCAATTAGCTTCTCTAAGGCAGCCAGACCCTTTGCTGCAAGTTGCTAGAGATGGCATGACCCCAGTCAGGAGTCAGCAAGAAAGATGTTGAATAATTTGTAGTAAGTCACAAAATCGGTTCATACATCTTTACTGTATTATACTAGCCTTGAATTTTGGGATATCTTTACTCCTTGCCTTTTTTTTTTATAGTTCAGAGTACCCAGTGTTAATTTAAACTGACACCTATGCATGGAAATGTTTTAAACTGTGTTGAGAATATAAGGAAAGGAGCACCTGTCACAGGATTTTCACTGAAGCAGTGTACTTTTACATTTTTGCCCCCTGCCCCTGTGCAACAGGAGTATATGACTTCCTGTGTCACTTCTTACATTAGCTTGGTCATAAAGGCAGAGACACTATATATCATGAGCATGCATCACATGCTTACAGTTACCAGTGTGCATATACATGCACACACACACTCCTTGTTCCTTACTTTCAAATCTCTGGTATGTGTTATAACTTCTGAGGGCTTGCATTGTTGCTAAAGATTACAGACCCAGCTCTGTGTGTTAGTTTGGTTTGTCTAAAGTACAGGGGCATAGCAGAAATATTACTTAGTTAATATTTTTAAGATACCCTCATTGTATATAGATACATATACATATATAAAGAAAAATTATGTACATTTTGAAATGGTTCCATAATGCTGATCAGCATGTAGCTGGATGGGTCCTACTAGCTTACATCATCCAAAAGAACAAGTAGTATTTTTTAAAAGACTTATTATGACTGTCTGTGAATAGTGGAAGGCTGAGGTGACTAAAGAGGACAATGAGCAAGTCACCTTGTCCTGGGAACTGTTTCCTTACCTCCTGTCTACTGGCTAAGAGTTTGTTAAGGCTGGGTGTCAGCCTTTGTCAAGTTGTTGCAGTATTCTTTACAGTAGGCAGAGTCTACACCGTTTTCTTAACCCTTCCTACTACTGTGGCTTTTTCTAACTCCACCTCCCAAAACTTCCTGTAGGGCCTGGATTCCTTCTGAGAACATTCAGGATATCACTGTCAATGTTCACCGACTGCATGTGAAGCGCAGCATGGGCTGGAAGAAGGCCTGTGATGAGTTGGAACTGCACCAGCGCTTCCTCCGTGAAGGCCGGTTCTGGAAGTCTAAGAATGAGGACGGAGGTGAGGAAGAGGCAGAATCCAGTATCTCCTCCACCAGCAATGAACAGGTGAGTGGTGTCGCGGTAAGAAGGTCCGCCTGGTTCGGATTTTTTTTTTTTTTTCCAACGCAGAAACCTCTGTGTACATTCCTCACTGTCATAGACAGGTTCTGACATCTTCTTTCCCTTTCATACAAACATCTGTAAAGTGCCCTGCATAAGTAAGCAAACCAGTGCAAAGATGTGAGTGGGTAGAAGCGACGTGGAGCCTGACCCAGCCGGTGGGAGGAGAGTAAGCGTGCTGCTCAGCTCTGCAGGCCCGCCCACTGGCTCTTTCTTCACCAATCCACAGCAATAACGAAGCGAGTGACTGCTGAGTACATGGACGGACTCCCTTCTCTCCTGCGGGTCCACCACAAGTATTCTCAGCACAGAGGTATTTCCTAGTGTGCCGAATAATAAGATATTACTTTTGTAATACCCACAGCTGAAGGTCACTCAAGAACCAAGAGCAAAGAAAGGACGACGTAATCAGAGTGTGGAGCCCAAAAAGGAAGTAAGTTGCCCACCTCACAGTGTCCAGGTGGCAATCGAAAGAGGAAAGAGTCTCAAAGTACGGTCAAGACAGTCAAGTAATGTCCGTCAAGTTAAGGCCCAGTCTCCCGACTCGTGCCGTTGTGGACTGCTGCTCGACCAGCACACGAGTGCCCAGACTCCATCCCCAGTAAGCAGCCGTGGAGCAGAGTCCGGGGAGCGAGCAGGGTGCTGCTGTGTTTCCTGAGAACCTGGTGTTTTACAAGGCATTATATAAAACAGAGTGATTATCTGATGAACCAGTGTGCCAGCATTTGCAAACAAGGAGACCATGGTCAAGCTTTCTTTTTTGTGTGAACTGAGCATGTTTTAAAATTGTAAATCTAGGTACATGCCAGACACATTCAGTGAGGTGTGATTTAGGACTGTAAGAAATCTGCTGATAAGTTGGTAATGATTTTAATTTTTTATAAACCAAAAACTTTATTTTACAAGTAAGATCCATTGTGTTAACATACAGTGAAATTATAAATGAATTTGTTTAGAATTTTCTTAAGCTATCATATGATTTTTCATTCACTGTGTTTAGGGAGTATTTATTTAATTGTGTTGAGCTATATAAACAAGATATCAGCATTACTTGCTTGTTAACAGTGTGTGTGTGTATGTATGTATGTATGTATGTATGTGTATGTGTACACATGCACACTCATATACACTGCATTTTTCGCTTAACTGAGCTCGGGTGAGTTACATTGTCCTGTTTTGCTTCTAAACACTTTAGGAACCAGAGCCAGAAACAGAAGCAGTAAGTTCCAGTCAGGAAATCCCCACAATTCCTCAGCCAATTGAGAAGGTGTCAGTGTCAACCCAGACCAAGAAGTTAAGTGCCTCTTCCCCAAGAATGCTGCATCGAAGCACCCAGACGACTACTGATGGCGTCTGTCAGAGCATGTGCCACGACAAATACACCAAAATTTTTAATGACTTTAAAGACAGGATGAAGTCAGACCACAAACGTGAAACAGAAAGAGTGGTCCGAGAGGCGCTGGAAAAGGTGGGGCTGCGCATTGCTGGGGGGCGGTGGGGAGTGGGCCAGCGGGGAGTGGGCCAGCTTCTCGGAGCAGCTGAGCCCGTATCCCTTAAATGAGCAGTGCGTTATGTTAGTAATGCGCTCTTGCTAACGAACATCTTGTGTGTCTACCAAAATAGTGGGAACAGAGCCTGACCTCAGCAGTGAGGCTTTACTTACGTGTGTCCTGTCTGTTGCTGTCTTCATTTTAGCTACGTTCTGAAATGGAAGAAGAAAAAAGACAAGCTGTAAATAAAGCTGTAGCCAACGTGCAGGGTGAGATGGACAGAAAGTGTAAGCAGGTGAAGGAAAAGTGTAAGGAGGAATTTGTAGAGGAGATCAAGAAGCTAGCGACGCAGCACAAGCAGCTCATTTCTCAGACCAAGAAGAAGCAGTGGGTGAGTAGCATACTGTCCCCAGGAATGAGACCAGTTGTGGTGAGGCCAGTTGAGAAAGAGAGGTGCAGTGTAACAGATGGGGGCCCTGGAAGGGTCACTGACTCCACAGCATTCAGGAGTGTCCTGGGAGCCCTCCTGGGCAGAGCACTGCTGCTGTCTACACTCATGTGCAGTTTATTCAGCGGTGTAGATACGAGTGTCAAGTGCCTGGTCTCCACCTTAATGCCAAGATGTCTGTGGTGTCCAAGATGGAAAGCTGCACATGTGTCCCAACAATCGACGTCCCTGTTGCAGATATTTCCCATTTTTCATAGAAATTGCTTCCTTTTGCTTATAGTAAGAGCATGTCCTTACTTGGCAAGTGCCCTCCTTCAACCTGACTGGAGGTGTCACTGAGTCCTGATTCTAAGCCTTTCCTTCCCCTTGGGATAGAGGCTCCTGCACATAGCCTCAAGGGAACTACCTGGTGGGAACAATTCTCCCTTACTCTCCTAATTTGATTTCAATTTTGAAAGGTTCTATATAGCATTTCATGATGATTCTTCCTTTTACCCAGCTTCTATTATGAAGATTCTGTAAATACATGTAAGGTTTTCACAAAGCATGTGTTAAGAAAAGCAAGAATGACACGGTTCTCTGAGCACATATACCTGTATAGACAGCTTGGTGGGAGGAAGTGCTGCCTAAGACGATGGGTAGACAGGACTAAGGTTCATCCCAGCAAGCTCCAGAAGGCCCAGACACCATGGTAGTATTTCTGTCTTATAAAGATGCTAGATTTATTGAAGCCATGACTCTTCCCCACCTTCCCAGCAGCAATATGCCAGGAGTTGCCATTGTTGATGTAGCAGAATCACAAAACTCAAAATATTAATTTTGACAGAAAATAAAACAAATATGTAGGCAAGAAGAAAAATAGAAGGTTGAGTTTTGAATTTTTACCAACCCAATGTAGGCGAGTGTGCTGGGTCCTCACCGTGTCTGTCAGCCTGTGTGCAGAGTACAATGTACATAGCCTTGTGAGTTTTAAGGTCAGCCTGGTCTCTCCTGCTCATCCTCTTCATAGGAGTCTACAGCGATGAAGCTGCTAGCTCATCAGCCCTGCTTAAAACTTGAACATGAACTTTCTCTCATTTCTTCTCCCAAATCTAAAGGTCTAACACTAGGTACTTTTTGACTCACATGGCCATTGTGAGTCTTTTAGTACAAGAGTGACTTCTCCCTGAAAGCTAGGGCTCCAGTCATATGCAGTGGAGGGATGTGAGGGGTGGGAGACAGAGCTACAAATGTCCCTCCCTGTGGAGTCAGAGCAGGTAAAGAATGGGAGGGAAGAGCAGCATGTGGGAAGGAAACAGTTGATGTGGAGTTGATGAACACAGGTGGATGTAGTGTTGGGAAGATGCCTGTGCCCTCACCTTGGGCTCCTCTCCTTCCACGTAAGATACTCCAGTGTCCAGTGTACACGCATGTGCCTGTGGGCTAGCCCACACAACCTTAGAAACTTAGGCAGCTCTGAGCTATTGGCTCCTGGTCTCATGTGTGCCTCCTGCCCTGCAGTGCTACAACTGTGAGGAGGAGGCCATGTACCACTGCTGCTGGAACACATCCTACTGCTCCATCAAGTGCCAGCAGGAACACTGGCACGCAGAGCACAAGCGCACCTGCCGCCGGAAGAGATGAGCCTGCCCGCCACCCTCACACGCAGCGGTTTTTGTTTCCAAGAAGCCAAAATTGTTTAGAATTTGCTTCCCATTTTGCACCAGCCTTTAAACACTTTTCGTGGTGAAATTTTGCACAGTAGTTTAAATCTTTTGTTAATGCTCCTCCGGCATTTTTCGGGGGCTGAAGTAACATCAATGGAGGGTATTACTCTAAATAAATTCTAATTGAGAATTTGTTGCATTTTCAGCAAATTTTAAAACATTTTTAGGTTTTACAGAGATTTTAACCTTTAAACAACAGATCTTAAAACAACAACAACAACAACAGGTGAATACGAGTGAGTCTAACAAAGACGGAACAGAGCTGAATGTAAGAGCGGCAGACGCTTCAGAAGAAGACAGACTACCTGGCCGTGACCTGGCCGTGACCTTGCTGAGCTGGTCTTGTACAGCTTGCTCACTGTTCACAGGTGTTGCCTGTGGCCGTGCTGGCAGCATGTGATTGAATATAGGGAACAGGGTTGACACAGCAGGGCTAGCCCTGCATATTTTTTCTTAAATATTTCCCAATTGTGTTTTCATTATTTCTTTTCAATATATAACTTTTATAACAAATTATTAGCTTTGATCTTGTAGTTTAAAATTGCAGGGAAACTGGGGTAATCTTTTACTGAGCTGGATCTTAGAGAAAAAAATGAATATTTAAAATTTAAAGTTTGCACATTTCATCTTTGTCCTGACATGAGTGCTTGTAACAAAATCAGCAGCAAAAACAAAAATGAAAAGCCAAAAACTACCTGTACTCAGAATGTGGAATACAACTGAGGCATGGAGTTTCTTCAGAGTCCCCTCCCTCCCCAGGGCCACCCCAACCTTACTCCCTGTATCTCCTTGAGTGTGAAGCTACTACTTGGAGAGAGAAAGCACTTACATGTCACAGAAGCCGTTGTGCTGTAGGGAAGGGTCATTGCTACTAACGAACTCCGTCACTGTACACAGTGAATAATGCATGTTACTTTTCTTGTATTAAAGATGCCGTGATTTGTACAAAGTCTGTATTTTGCAGGATGTCTGGTTAAGAAGCATTACCAGTAGGAATGGATCGATAGTTGAATAACATTTTTTATATATACATAGATATATAAAAGACAACCAGGAAAATTAAATTTCTTTAAAACTTTCTCACAATTTGTTTCTTTTTCTCCAAGACTGATCATAGACCAAGCCAAATTCCCACTTTATCCTTTAGTTATTTTTTGAGGTTAGAGAAATAATTTGTAAATATTTATTTAGACCTTTGATATTTATTAAAGCAATCACTCACAACAGAAGTGAAAGGATCGGGAGAAAAGCCTTTCAAAAAGTTCTCTCTGGTCCATCAGGTCACTCTAAAGATGAAAGCTAGTTCTGCAAAACCTCCATCCGGCGCTGACGCTATTGCAGATGGTGGTAACACAAGTTAATTGCAAACTACTGCCAAACGGAGCACACTCTTGTATAAAACCACCAGTAGCCCATCACCTCCGCTCTGCAGCAACTTGGCACCTCCGCTCCCTCCTCTGCCGCATAACCATCATTGCTGCTGCACTGCCCTAACCAAGGACACTCGACAGTCTTCGTTTTCAGGTTTTAAAACTTCGATCCACCCCTGTGAGAGCAAGTTATTGTGGGAATATTTTTGGTGTAAAATCATTCCAGAGTATGTACTATTTACCTGATAGCTGCATGAAAGTGAGGTTCCTGTTACTTTGGCTTCTTGTCTCTGTCGACACGGCTGCACATTTCCAAGTTACTACAGTGTGAAAACTGTGTGTTTAAAAAAAAAAAAAAAAACAAAATTAAAAAAAGATTGTGGCCTGGTTTTGTAAAAGTTTTAGGTAAAATTACAATTGATTGTTTTAGGAATCATTATAATTTTCTGCAATCATAAAGCTCTATCAAGGTGTTGAGGTAAGCCACTCTGCACATTGTAAGTACCCATTGTGGCTGTCCAGTTCTATGATGCATTCTGGCATTTTGTAAGCTGCTCTGACTAGCAATATATAGATTTCATTTACTGTGTTAACATTGGTTAATAAATGTATTTAAAAAAAATGACACAACTCTTGTCAATAAGCTGCTTTGGTCCAGTGTCCTGTGCCAGACAAAAAATACAGCTACACCTAAAGGTCTGTCAAGAGTGGTGGGTTGCTTGTGGGGACTAGAAAACCAGTGTGAGGAGTTGGAGAGATGACTCATCACCTAGGAGCACTGGCTACCATATCAGAGGAACAGTGTTTGATCCCCACATGCTACTTCACAAGCATCTATAGTTCCAGAGAACACAGTGTCCTCTTCAGACCTCTGTGAGCCCTGGGCATATGAACGAGGTGCATACCAGGAAGGCAACACATTAATACACATAAATGTAAAAACAAGTATGTGTATTCTGTTCAGTTCTGTTCTACATTTACCTTGGATGATGTGGGTCATTTCTCAAAGATGAGGATGAGTACATGTGCTCATGCCTGCTCTTGACTGGAATGCTGAGTAGTCAGGGCGACTCTGTTCTCACCTGGGCATGGCAGGTGGGTGCCATTTTACCAGCCTGGGGCTTTCACTCCAGTGTTAACCTGTCTGCATGTAGTTTTCTGTAGTAATTTTTAAAAAGTGGTATAAGAGAGAAATATACCATGTGATAGGAGTTTGAGTGGAGGGTTTGTTTTGTTTTTTAATTAGGGAAAGGGATCATAAGGGGAGTGGCTATCAGAGCCCCAAGGACAGGCCAGTACTGATGCCTGAATGCTAACAGTTTTATCACTGACATCTGTAGTAGTATCATAGTTGGGATGTGGTTTGAACTTACTGTAGGAATATGAAGCTCCCAACAATCATCAAAGAACACCATTCTATTCTCTTCAATTTTGTCTTTGTCTCTAAGCAATGAGCTTACCTGTCCCCCCCCCCCCAAAAAAAAAAACCTGGAACTTGGGACACGTAATTCTATGTATACAGTGTTGTACCTGCTCTCCAGAAGAGAGCACCAGATCTCATTATAGATAGTTGAGAGCCACCATGTGGTTGATGGGAATTGAACTCAGGACCTCTAGAGTGCTCTTAACCTCACAGCTATCTCTCCAGTCCCTTGGATACATAATTCTAGACCTTAAGTGTAACAGTTGTGCTCAGAAAGGTTTTCAACTAAGAAATACTTAACAGATATGAGCCCATACAGTGCAGACTAAGTGACAGTCTCACTGAGACCAGCCAAGGCCAGAGATGATACAGTGCATTGGTGCATGCCAGGAGACAGATAAGCAGCTTGTACCAATGCTTAAACAAAAACCTGCAATAGGAGACTGCATGGAAGTGGCTGTGTTCTAACACATTATTAGAAGGAAGCTTTTCAGTTAGTCTAGCAACCAGTAACCATGGTCTGGCCACTCAAGAGCAGGAAAGTATCGACAGGTCAATTCAAAGTGATTTACTAACCTTCTTAGATGTGCTTAAATGGTGAGTTACAGAGCTCTGCTTCAAACTCAGGTTGGTTTGATTGCAAAAGGCTATTTCATTTTTAACCCATCTTCTGTGCCAGACTTAGAAAAACTTAATGACCATCTGACAGTTGTCAGTGTCAGCAAGTTCCAAGTCCCCTGAGACATACTTGTCATCTGCCCCACCTCAGCTGGCATCTCCCCTCTACCCCACACATTGCTCTCTCAGTCCAGGGCAGCCACACCCCTCACTGACTAAGATGACACACCAAGCAGTACTGTGCCTGTGTTTTCCTTTGCAGTCTCTGGTTTAGAGGACACCAAACTTGATGCCAGGAGGCCTATGCATTTCCAGGTCCCTCCACTTCCCCACAGGCATCATTAATGAGTTCCCAAGGGTGCCACTCTGAGTACCACAGTTGTATTACCTGGAAAATAAAAGTGATGGGTCCATATGCCAATGTGCAAGACAAACTGCATGAAATTCTATAGGAGCCTCTTTCTCTCTTTTTTAAAATATTTATTTTATGTATATGAGTGAGCTGTCTTATCTTCATGCACATCAGAAGAAGGAACCAGATCCCATTACAGATGGCTATGAGCCACCATGTGGTGCTGGGAATTGAACTCAGGACCTCTAGAATAACAACCAGTGCTCTTAACTGCTGAGTTTGTTTGTTTTCATAGTGTAGTGGTTATCATCTTCACCTCACAGGTTAAGAATTCTTGACCTAATCAAATTAATGAAACATCAATAGGTAGAGAGACAAATAGTTCCTATAATCTAGTTCAAACTGCTCAAAGCCACATAGGTAGCTCACCCAACAGCTGTCAGGATCCATGAAGTGGGTCTCTCACATGGACAGCTACAGATCTGTCTGCTTCTTCTAAACTTCCAGGCAGTATGGAGTCTGCTGACCAGGTTGGAAATTCATAGAAGGTGGGTATTACTGCATTAAACCGCAAACTCCATAAAACATAAATGCGGAAAGGGAAATAGAACGTTACCAGAAGTAGACATTTTATAGTAGCCACACTGTATGTATGTATGTATGTATAATCACAACCAGATAAAATTAATGTGTCTTCAAGCACTAATTTGTAAGTAACAAAAATTACTTATGGTTATTACTTTTGAGAAAGGATCTCACATATTCCTGACAACCACAAACTATGTAGCCAAGGGTGGTCTTTCAGGCTGTACCACCAGAATGCTGAGATCACAGGCATGTACTACCACATCTGCCTCATGTGCTTCTGAACATGGAACTCAGGGCTTTGTGCATGCTAGACAAGCTTTCTATCACAGAGCTACATCTCAGTTCTAATATAAAAAATATGACTGGTGCGATTTGCATTCTTGTTTTGTATCAAGCGTTCAAAATCTAGTATTTTATTACTTTCCCCATATCTCCATTGAGAAAAGCCACACTGTCCCTTATGACCACTGACTTCCTTTGTCATAGACAAGTCCCTGTCCTGTCAGTGACTCACTCTAGCATTCACCAACTTACATGTATTAGAGTGCCTAAGAGCTGCAGAAAAAGAAAAAAACAATTCTTGCCAGAATTAGAGCCACTTTGACTCTGCATTGCAGTCTCAAATTTGAGAGCTTGGTCACCACATTCTAAAGAAAATTGAGACCCTCCCTCATCAAAAATTCTGTAACGTGATAAGGATTAACCTTAAGGCAAGAGTAGGCAAGGCAAAATTTTACCTGCATCATCTATGGCTAGGAAAGAATGACTCACATGGAAACAGGGTACATACATTTCACATGGGGCCTCACAGAAAATCTCAACACTCAACTGGCAAATCCTGAATATGATGTGGAACAGCAGTTATATGTGAAAAGGGGGCTGATGATGGGAGCTGACAGAAGCAAATAGCTTCTGGGAAAGACCAAGAAAGATCTCATGGAGTTGTCTGTTCCCTGGCTGACGGCGTTTCTTGTTGGCACATGGGGTCATTCTCAAAAGAGTTTCATTCTCCTGGGTTTTTAAAATTTATTTATTTTTGTTTTATATGCATTGTTGTTTTGCCGTGTGTGTTGGGTCCCCTGGAGCTGAAATTACAGGTGGTTGTGAGCTGTCATGCAGGTGCTGGGAATTGAACCCAGTTCTTCTGGAAGAGCAGTCTGTGCTCTCAAGCACTGAGCTATCTCTCCAGCTCCTCATTCTCCTGTTTTTTGAGAGGGCGCATGAGAACATCCTTTACACCCAACCCTCCTGTAGAAACAGAGCATATCAGATGGTGTATTTTGCCACACTTCAGGGAAATGTAAATGAAGAAGTCAACACTGATCCAACATGGATGAGATTCTAAAGCAGTCCAGGGCAAAGACTCAGCGAACCATGCCTGGCAAGAACCAGGAATGGGAGTTGCTAGTGAATGGCTGGAATCCCAATCTTGCAAGATACATAAGATCTAGAGACCAACAGCAATAGTGTGGCTCCTCAAAGTGTGTTCATTTGGTAGATCTCACACCCATCCTTACCAGTACAGAAAAGATTGAGACCTCAGACAAAGAAGACAGAGTAAAAGCAAAAGCCCTCAAAAATACACCTTCCCTTGAGACCAGGTGACACCCACTAGGACTGCTGTTCACTCATCACCCTCATCTGCAGTCTCACACACACATTCCAGGGTTACAGGAAACCTCAGATACTATTGACTCTACATGTCCATGTCTACCTATGCATAGCAACA